TAATAACAATAAAATTAAGTTTTACCTCTTCTTTTCTCAACAGGGAAAGTAAAAGAAAAGACATTACATGCTTTGATGAATGGCATGTCGGTAGTGAAGACACAGGGGGTTAATAATAAAACTGAGTGGCAGGCTCAGTGTTGTTGGATGACTGCTAAACACAAACAGCCTCTGTTTTATCACTGCAGACTTATTTTGATTCTTTACATATGAGATAACAAAATGCCATCAAAAAAAGTGAATTATGAGTGAGGGTCCACATATGCTACACTGACTTCAGGTATGATATTTCATCCCCTTACAAACAGTAATACAGTAATCGCAGCTCTAAACTCTTTTGAGGTTGAAGTTTCATTCCAAAATACTTTACATAAATGGTGAATAATCCCTTCTGGAAGCTAATAGCCGTGTTACAAATGAATCCAAGAAGTGGCAGATGGCTGGGAATGAGAAGTATGAGGCTGTGCATTGTGGGAATTACGTTCATGACACATTCACGTCCTGTGGGAAAGAAAGAAAAAAAAAAAAACTGCTCATCTCAGCTTTAGAAGCTAAATAAAAAGGCTAATTTAAAAGGAAGCCGTGACGGACAAATGACTAATGGACGAACAGAGTGGAATGTCTCATGACTTCATCCAGTCTGTTTTTTTTATAATGATGCCATCACCCTGTGAAAACATCATTAGCAATTTAATTTCCTAAGTCCCGCCCCTTTTTTGCTTGTGCTCACCAGTTGAGCGCCTCAGCTTGTTCCTTCTTTGCGTGCCTATCTAGATAACTGCTGCATGTGCTGGCACGTCCTTGTGAAACGACCAACCCACCTTTGGAAGATGGTTAAAAGATAAAAGTGGCATAGTTAGCTACAGAGAAAAATACTTGCTAACTAGCCAGCTAATCTACATCAATTGTTAGCTAGCCATTTATATCTGACAACTGTTGTTGCCAAAATGCTAGCTAATCAACTAGTTAACTTATATCAAAATTAACATTAGCTCATTTAAGATGTGACTACTTGTCGCTTTTATCTTTTAACCATCTTCAAAATGTGGGTGTCTTTTCAACATAGCCTAGCACTCAGCATATGGATAGGAAAGCAGAAAGTTGACTGAGGCTTGCTCAACTCAGCACAGAGCCAAAAGGGGCGGGACTAAGGAGGGGTCAATTGTCAAGTGTTTGCACTGACAGGCTGGGAGTTACCAAAAACAGAGCTATATCTCCTGATATGATAAGTTGTCCAATAAAGACTGATGTGGTCCAGCAGGACAGGAATGTGTGAGCCACCAGGTCAGAGCCGGCAGGAAATCTACTTCTCCAGGAAATCATAATCCATCACTTTATCCATGTTCAGAGGCTTTTTGTAATTTTAACCTTTTTTTTTTTAAGTCAGAAATGCCATCAGTTGCACCACAGGTTTTCAACACGTTGAATGGATAGAGTGTCAGGGATATAAGAACCATGATGGGATATTCTGAGCCTTATTAAAAGTTTTGTTCCAGACCTCTGTATCGCCCCCACATCTCAGATTTTTTTCGGTGTTTCCAAATAGGTGACCGAGTTGTTCCCACTGTTCCCAATTCTGACAAGCTATGGTCTTGTCGTCACCCATTTTCATTCTTGACGCCCCACGTCTGTCGGGTCGCGCTACCCTCCGACTCCAGGAGTGTCTGCATGTCTGTGTCTTCAGATCGGAGTGTGTTATGACTGAGAAAAAAAGATTTGCGTCGAGTTCAGAGGGTTAAAGCACTTTCATTGGAATCCTTATAAAGTGTGGATGTACCAGGACACTACTGGACACCAATGAGACTCATAGTGGAGGAGTATTCAGTACCACTGCTGTGCTGCAGTGATGTGAATGTCTGTGGCAGTGCGAATAATCGTGCGTTTTGCTCTATCAATTAAAATTAGCCTGAAAGGAGTTTTCAAACCCTCAGCGACCTGTACTTCACTGGCTTCTTACATAACCAAACAGCCTCAGTGGGGCAGTGCGCGTGCGTGTCCAGGGGTGTGTGAGCGCTGATGAACGTGGTGCACAAGTCTCGACTGGTATAGACCCTCCGGCAGCAAATCTAACTCATCATCTCTGTTAACGCCTGACAGTCTCGTTCACACACACACATTCTCCACTTCGCGCGCTACAAAATACACAGCTCACTAATACATACGCTCTACATACACACGACGCAATCTCTCTGGCACATAAACAGCGCTGCCTAGTTAATTCAGGTCTAAATTTAACAAGGTGTCTGGGGACCCGTGCTGGGAAGCAGAGAGCAGCTGAACATGATGGTGCATTATGGAGCTAACTAACCTGCTGTCAGACAATCCGTCTTTGTGACTTCATCGCTCAAATTTTAAGGTTCAGAGCAGAAAATGTTCCTCGAACTCCTCTTATGTATAGAAAATACCCCGTGTGTTTGGGCTTGGGTTAACAGTGGATTTAAAACGGTACCGTCTCCAATATATGTGTAATTACTGATTGGATAACTGAGTCAAAACCCAATTAAATTCAAAGGAAAATGCTGAATATGGGTTTCTCGCTTTCCCTCTGTTTCTGTGTCAGAAAATAGTCCAAATTAAAACAGTACACAGTGAGCTATGTAGTTGATCCGAGGTAACCAGAATATAATTTCTGAACAGAGCTCCTTTGTATGTGAGTGGAAACACATGGGGAACCCTTACAAAGAATACCTGAACTGGTAGCTCTTTATTTTACAGTGCGCTAATTACCTGGTATTTACCAAACCACAGTTATTAGGAAGTAACAAAAGAACTGGCTAGTAAGTACAAAGTTACAACTTGTTCCTGTGAGAATAAAATCTGCAGTAGTTCGGTGGCGTAAGGTTCAACGTTTAGCGATGATTGGTGAAACTTGCAGGAAACCACGATGATTGGTCAAATTCGAATTTGCGTTAATTGCTGTGATTGCAACTTCCTGGAGGGACTGCATTTTGGAGTGGATCTGAATCACAGGGGGGATAAATGACTTATTTTATACTTCCCGATGGCAAAATGAACTGAATTCATCGTGCAGTGAAGTAACTTTGAGGAAAACTCCAGCAAACCTTTACCAACAAGCTAACTGTTCCCTAGTTTCCCACGGAACTTTCAATTTGGCAAATGCTTGTAAACTCAGCTGCTGGCTGAGACGGCGGACACTCCTCTCTCTACCAGCGGTACCCACAGGCAGTGAATCACAGCAGCAGCAGCAGAGGGGGACAGATGACCTTGGTGGAGGTCTACGCTCTCAGAGTGTCCTTCTAGCTTTATGTGATTTTATGTGAAGCTCTTACTCACTGAGGCAAGGGGGGGATCTTTACAGCTGTTATTTCAGACAGAATTGTTTAATATTATTTTGTAGCGATAACGACCCAAGCCAGTAAAATGGCTCACCGCAGCAAAAGAGTGGATCAGCAAATGTTTTTGGCCACTACCGGATCTGCCTAATGAGCAATCCAGCCGATCAGATCCGTGCCTCCCTAGTTACAAGCTGTATGACGGACACTGACAGATGCTAAATACGCTAACAGCAACATAGTTTGTAAGGTTGCTAAAAGTGTGTGCTACTCCTCCCACATCTTGGTGTACAAAATTCTAAAAACTATTATCAACTGTAGGAAGTGTATCTAACTAAAGTTAAAAATTATATAATTTTTAAAAAAAAATGGCAATATATTTTCTCGCTTACAGTATCGCAATATATTGCAAAGGATTGAAACGTAACCACTGTATCGGGATACTTATTGTCAGATTAAAGCCAATACACAGCCCTCCCACTCATTATAGCTCCCTTATTACTAGAGAACCGTGTTATTTAACATTTGTCCCCGTGGAGTGCTTTCATTGTAAGTCATATGATGGTATTTATATTCTTTTCTCAGCCTTTGTGTTTCACTGCCCAAATCTCTCTCTCCCTGGACCTCCTTTGACAGAAGCCAAGTACTCCCACGTGACATCTGCTCCCCACCACGACTGTGAGTGTACAAATGTGTTGAGGTGTGCATGGTGTGTTGAGTGTCTGTGCGAAAGCCAAGTTATAAGCCAGTAATTGTCTAAAACCAGCAGGAGTGAGTGTGTGAGTGTGTGTGTGAGGGAGGATGTACTGTATATACATGGTCAGTAGAGCATTAGTAAGTCATGGGGGTAGCTGTTAAATGAACCATTATATCCAGCTAGCTTCATATACAACCAAACACACTGGAAAACACAGTTATGACAACTAGCCCTGGAAACAGGATTTAGATCATGAGACACTAAGTCGCATTGACACGCACACGCAGACGCACACGCACACCTCTCCCGTACCAGTGAGTTGGACCTGAGCCTCGTAGTTGCCGCTGATGACGGAGTCGGTACTCGGCGTTAGGCACCAGTAGAAACCGGCGTCCGTCTCCTTCACCTCCGCTATCTTCAGCTCCACCTCGTTGTCCTGGAGCCGCACCACCGAGATGTCGCCGGACGCGACGCGTTTGCTGAGCGACGGGTGGGAGTAGCTTGCGTCAAAGGTGGAGATTATCTTTGTCGATTTGTCTTTATCGGTCTGGTCCCTGGACATCATCCACTCGAAATCCTGCAGGACAAAGTGGGATAATAATGAGTGCCAGATATATTTGTGCAGTGTACTTAAATAAAAGTGCAAAATTGTGCTGCTGACTGAATAAATTTGAAATATTTGAGCATGAGAGTGTTCAACTCCTTTAGAAAGAGACGTAAGTAAGACGTAGTAAGAAACAAGTGGTCAGAACCAACATCACAGTCCTTTTGAAGGTCTGTTTAATAGAACAAACTTGAGCTACAACTATTTCATAATCCATTTGGAGCTCCTTCCATGTTCTTTATAACGAAAGACAAACAAATTTACATGACAACTAAACAGTATTCTAATTGCAGGGAATTCTGGGACCTAAGAGCATTGCAGAAAAGGTTCAGACCCTGAGTGGTACAAAGCAGCATGCATCAGAGTTCCTTCATTTCCAACTGAGTAGAGTGACTGAAACTGGCATTTCTCATCTATGTCTGTGAATTAAGGATCTTTTGCAACCAAACCAGAGTTGGTGAAAGACTAAGAATGAGAGTTTTGGTGAGTTCTATTCTCTTTCCGACGATGTTTCGATGATCTGCGAGGTAAAATCACAGTTTTTGTCTATGGAGTCTGGTGGCGAGCAACAGAGACATTACGGCTGTTGCTGGTTAAACTAAAGGTCTATCTCTGTAGGGATCCTTCCCTTAGTGTTGTCAGAAACTTAGAATGACAACCTGAGCCTGTCAGTGGCAAAAACAAGCCATAGTGGACCGTCTTGTGGCCATTTTAATAATTAAGGATTTATTTCAACTTTGGTGATTGTTGGAAAGACGTTTGTTTGATTCTGTCCACGTTGGACTGTGATTTACAATCATCTGCTAGGTAAAATGACTAGTTTTGTCAAGAGTCTGGTAGGTCTGCTACAGGAAGATCACGCTCACCCAGATGTGATATGGAGGTATAAAAGACACTTACCTGCTCACGAGGTCCCCCATATTCTTGGACATCACATCTGATTGAGACCGGCTGATCCTGCACCCGAATTAACGGACCGGGAGACACCATCACCACCCGGGCCGAGCACCCACCTTCAGGGACAGAGAGAATGTTAAAAAAACACAGCAAAATAAATAATAGATAGATAGTTTTGAGTTTTAGAATCTATATTAGTAGCAGAAACACTGTCAGAACTTTCCAAAAAGCAGAAACCAAGAGTGAGATTTATATCAAAGTGTCTCTCTGATTTAGTTTCCATTGTCATATAATTAGTGCCGTTTTAGTTACATTGCCAGGTTTGGCTGTATCAAATCAAACCATCATGTTGACTTAGTCAGAGTCGAGTGTAAAATTCCAGCTGAGCGGAGCGTGCAGCAACACGGCGGCGTCTGACTGAGCTCAGTAGAGCTGGTCGGTTGACTGCTTCCTGCTCTGTGAAATCTGGCTGCAGGCCTCCACATTCCAGCTCCGACCCACAAAATCTGCACTCCGCTTATCTAAAGGTGAAGCGGAGATGCTGCTGGGTTTGTATGTAGTAAGAATGTTAATAAACCACAGTCTGTCTCTAACTAGGTTGCTCAATACAATGCTCAATATTACCAATTTTAGATTTAGGCAAAGTTCTTGTGCCAGAGCTTGTGTTGTGTTGAGGAAAGGTATGGTCTGTTACATCTTGGGTTGTATTTTTGTAGCTCTGGCCATCGATCGGTTATGATAACGCTGTACTAGAGATGCACTGATCCAACTACAGATTCTGAAACTTCAACTCTATCTGCAATACAGAGTACCAATCCTTAACTTCAATTTAACTTTAATAACTGCATTTCTCTTTAAATATTCATCTTGCACTACTTTTTTTTTCTTATATTTTAAAGATAAACACAGAATATAAAATATTCAAATATGGCCATGTAGCATTTTACATTTCCTTAAGTGTTTAACTGTCCTGTTGTGAATTTGAACAGGGCGTTAATCATTTGAAACCATTTTTAGAAAGTCAGCCATATGGTCATTTTGGACTGGGTATGGAGCTCAATATTGGAGTACTGGACTGTGTCCATATATCAAAAACTATCCACGTCTGAAGGTTAGAAATGTTTGGTCAGATTTTTAACTTATTCTTGGGTCAAATATTACCTGATTTCACTCGCAGTTCTGTCAGTATAATACAGTATTTTATTTACGTCCAGTATGACTGTTTATTTAAGAGATCAAATATAGAAGTGTACAAAAAAAAGAAAATCTGTAACTGGATGAGCATGGGTATTTTTGAAAGTGCTTCATAAACAGGTCTTGTATGGTTCATCAATACTTTTTTGGCAGTTGGCCTGGTGTTTCGTGGGTGAGCCTGCTGACTGGAAGCTTTTTCTGCTTTAGTGTGTAACAAGTCACAATGAAATAAGCACCACACAAAACCTACTGCATGTTTCAGTTTCTGTTTATGGTTTGTGTCAGGAGTGGTGTGCGGTTTACAGATAAACTGCAGACTGATGGATCTCTGAGTCTGACAGCTACAATTTCATTCTAATAAAAATCAATCATTTAAAGCTGCAGTAGGTCGTTTTTATAGAACTATTTTTTGTCATATTTGCTGAAACTTACACTATATCCTGACAATCATACATGAGACAGATCATCTGTGAAGAAATCAGGTTGCTCTGGCTCGTTCTAGCGCCCCTAATGGCATCTGCAAGAATCAACCGGGCCGGGATGAAAACAGCCAATCAGAGCCAAGGAAGATAGCTGCTTGTTTAGTCTCATTCCCAGGGCGACAAATACAGACGCTTTGGGTCTCTGGGGATAAGACTGAACAATCTTCAAGCCTCAAACCCCAAAGCATCTTTATTTATTTCTCGGCTCTGATTGGTTGTTTTCGTTCAAGCCCGGTGGGTTTTTGCAAATGCCATTAGGAGCTGAGAATGAGCCAGAGGAACCAGATATTATCACAAATTATCATGTTCTACTGTTAGGATATAGTGAGAAATTCAGCAAATATGACAAAATATAATATATTTTTATAAAAAGTACCAACTGCAGCTTTAACACTACCTATGACATCAAACAGGTGTAAAACTCATTGTTGTTGCAAGCTATAATGACAAAGTGATTTATTCAACTCAAAAAAAATCCAGTATGAAGAATGTCGGCAGTTCAGCATCACTGAGTTGTCAAGCAAAACATTCAAAATTCATCTGACTTATGCTAAGAAAACTTGCACTTTCTCTTTGCATTCAAAGGCACAATAAGGTTTCTGCTGTGTCATGTCACAAAATGGCCATAATATACAGTAAACCTGTATGTGTGTGCACATGTGGGCGAGAGGTGATAGGGCAATTCATCACTAAAATAAGAGGCTTAAAGCTGCTTGGCCAGGTGCTAAGAGTTATGGTTTTCAAACTCAATTTCCAGCCTGCCTGTCTCTACCGGAACGAATGCTGCACAGCCAGCGGAGCCTGAAGACACCCAGAAAGGTTCATAATCAAGTCGAGAATCTACAAAAAAAATTGGACCGTGTGACATTTTTGTCACGGTGGCATGTGTGGAGCAGCTGGAGGCAGAGAGGGAACGTGGTTCCATCCTGCCGTGCCGTCTGGCGCACCCACTGTGAGGAAGGTGAGATGGATTTGGGCATTCCTGCGCCACTGGGTGGGTGAGCCCTGAGAGCTGACTGGACAACACATTCTCACACTCAACTTGTCGAAAAAGAAAAAAATTATATATATATATATATGCCACTGAACCCCTGTAGTGTCATTTCTGGACATGCAGATACGCGGTCAAGTTAGTAAGAATAAATATGCTATGTCTGGTTAAACTTTTAAAATAAAGCTTGCGTAGTTAACGTTGTAAAACAGTCGCAGTTGGGTTAGGTTTAGGCAGAGAAGGTACCTGGTTGGGTTTAGGAAAAGATCGTAACTGACGTAAATTAAGTATGCTACGTGCGTTAACTACTTTACACTAACATCTTTACTTTTGGTTTCAAACAGGACACGAACAGCAGCCTCCTGGGTTAAAGTCCTGCGTTTGCTATCCGTCCACCCCACCACTTCCATATGCGGACTTTGCACATCGATACCAACTATACCACATCACCTGACTTCGACGGTGAGCCTGAAATAACTGTTCAGGGATACCTGCAGTGTCGTATTTTAAGCAGAGGGTCACCGACCAAGCCGCAGTATTTAACGACTTGGGAGCGAGACCGGTTTGGACTGGATGCAGAGAAGGTTAGTTTCGCTCCAGCCCGGTGTACTCAGTTTTTCCCACTGCGTTTCAGCTTTTGGGGGCAGTCTTTTGAGTCAAAACGATACACCACAGTCAGTCTTACTGAAAAACGTCTATCTCTCTTGAAATACAAAATCAAGAAAGAACTAATTCCTAATTCCTCAGGGTGATTTCCAGCAACTCGTGTGAGCTATTCCTATACAGAGATATGATTGGGCAGTGCTTGACTGACGGGTATCTTAGCCTATCAGAGTCAGCCATGGTTGTTAGCACACTCGCTTGTTCTCTTGTTGACCCAAAGTTCTTTCCAGTTTGCCAGTGCAAACACTGGTTTCCAGAGCAGATTCCAGATCAGTTGTCAACTATTAAATCAATTTCGAACTGCTTCTCAAATGTGAGTAATTTCTGGTTTCTTTAGTCTACTATGATAGTAAACTCTATATAAAGTATCTTTGGGTTGTGGGCACAAGATATTTTTTTCTGTCATGTAGTGATGTCTTTAGCTTCAGCGTCATTCAACCACTCATCGATTCATGGAGAAAATGATCATCAGATCAATCGATAATGCAAATAACAGCTAGTTGCAGCCCTAATCAGGTCCAGTAGTTTTGGTCATTCAAATAAGAATTCATGATTCATTTTATTTGGACTGTACTATGATGGACCGATTGATTTTTTATTACCTC